AGTCTGGCTTTTAGAAGAGTCTCAATATTTGTTGAGTAGTAAATACAATGCAAAAGATCCAGTCTTCATCAGCTAGTTGTCATATGCTGGTTGTTTATATACAATGATAATTGGCTTATTTGCTCTTATTACAGTTTGCAGATAAATATATATCTTCTGTTGCTTCAATTATTTGGTCATTCAGATCACTTCAATTGATTACTTCATTTGGCCAAACTAAAGGTGATGGAGTGAATTCAATTATGATTGACCAAACATTTACTTTAAATCATTTGTTAAAAAGCTCCACATATTAAAGTAACTACATGAAAACCATAACACAAAAGAAATAGCTTACTGTATATTGAATTTTTATATCAAGATAACTAATTTAAATTTAAAAAGCCTAAGCTAGCAAATCAAGTGATTGTTACAAAATATTTAAATAATCATATCAATACTATTGATACTAGTGACATAATATTTCACAATGGTGCAGAATATTCCAGTAAGATGTTGTGTGAATGAATATAATTTCTTGATGAAGTTAATGCTTCTATGTTAGTTTAAAAATGTTATAAAGGCAATTATATTAACCGATTAACTTACATTTTGCCGTAAATCATAAATTATTTGCAAATGTATTTGCAATTAATAAGATTAAAGCTACACCAGAAATATTGTTTTTTGTCTTTTGGTTTTCTAATTATCAAATTATCATCAAAAAACCTTTGATTTTCATAATTATTAGATTTTTTCTTATTCACTAAAAACTTTTGAATCTACATGTTTACTATGAAGGCCTCCTGTGCCCAGTATAATGAACTCATATATACTACAACAATGATGGAAAGAAAAACTATGAAAACACTATCTGCCACAGACACTTGTGTAAATTCTTGTGCATTTTTAAAACCTAGAAGCTTTCAGTGGCCAATGACTAAAAATAAGCCTATCAATTTAAAATATTCACGAGTCGCAAGATTAAGTGCTGTGAGAGATGCATAAACAGGCACATTACTGTTGCTTTACTTCTCAAATTGATTAACAATGTAATAGAAATATATTTTTTTCTCAGATTGATAGTTTTCCTTTGTTTTGGGAAAAGTACATGTGTTAACTGATGTGGGAAAGATTATAGATATTCAAGGAAAATTTCTTGGAAAGAATAAATGGAAATGAATTGACATGAAAGGTCAGTTAGGAATGACAGAGTGAATACTGCCAGGAAAATGAAATAATGGAGTGAGAGTTTTGGAAGTGGATGGTTAAGAGAAGTGAGATGCTCCTAATAAGTTATATCCTGAGGAGGATCCATTCTTTTCAAATTCAGTGAATTTCAATTAAATGTATGTTGGATTTATCTTGTAAATTGTAGTTCAGAGACTAAAAATTGTTGTTCAAGTTAGAGGGGAAATTGTACATTCAGAATGGATCAAGAAATTACTGATCCTTCTTTGACTATATTCTGTTTCTTAGCCTATTGTTTTGTATTAAAAGGAAGAGAAATATGAATAAAAAATTGTATGAATAGTAGATTTTTAATTACTTCTTGTTTCTGAACAGAATAAAAATAATTCAAGGCCTGTTTCCCAGTTATCTTAGCTAAGTGCATTTTACTCTTTAAACAATGAAAGTATCCAGCCCTTATATTTTCTTTGGGAATCTAACATTGACTTCTATAAATTAACATAAAATAACAAAAAAACTAATACACCTTTCTCTGGAGTCTTTTATGTTATGTTTTATCGTCTCTCCCATTGCTTGGGAGTATCACTTCTTTGTAAGTTGTATATCTGCTTCAGTGAGGTTATCTCGTAGTGGTCTATCTTTTTCCCTGGATAACATGATAGAGCTCTAACTATCTTTAAAGACATTCCCTTTAGATTTGTCTGGTCTCGCTTTCTCTGTTGCTATAGCAGGTTTAAATAAGTGACTAATACTGTGCACTGATATTCAGGGAATGGCTTTGACTTCCTTTTATAGTCTAGCAAAATAATTTCTTTGAGGTTATTCATCACGTTCTATTGTGGTTTTCCAGATTATTCAGGGTACTCTGATAATGCTGGTTCACTGGAAACGAAATGTGTGAGAGTGATTTTACGTTTCAGATGATTATGAAAAATTCAGTTTTTTTGTAAGAATGATAATAGAGTGATAGAAGCAAATAATACCCATGATATTCACGAGTAAAATAAAACACAAAGCTCAAGCAAGAACTTGAGGGAAATGGTAGCCTATAAAATAATGAATGGGGAAAATAGTGAGAAGCTGTACTAGTCAGGAATACTCAGATCTACGGAAGTGATGAAAGGATCAGAGACTCTCATATCTGAACTCTAATTTAGTGTGTTGATAAAACTAAGAAAAGAATGCAGGTTTTGGTAAGATGAATTTAACATTTTTAGACAATATTTAATGGTAAATAAAGTAGTAAAAATGAGATTTGATCCATCTAGAAGAATATAAAAATTTCCCATAAGTCCCCAGTTAAACAGAATTACAAGAATGTATACTCTGCTACCAAGTTCTGTTCTAAGTATGATAAAGAATGATGAAACAATCCAATAATGGTAATCTACAAGTAGATAGATGGTGGACTCTTCTTACTCTTTCCCCTTTCCTTTGACACATATTTGAATAAATATATTTTGAGAATTCTTCTTCAGAATTATATTGTTCATTAGAAAAGCCACAATGGAATGCTTGGTTTTTTTTGTCAATGGACTGTACTAAAGTACAGTCCTGAGTTTACACACCAGCAAATAAAAGAGCAGAATAGAGGAGACTGGGAGAATACTTTAAAACTATTTAAAATTGTAACTTACACAGTCAACATTTAAAACAGCAATATTGAAACATCAGTTCCTTCCATTACCATGATCTGTTAATATTAATAATAATTAATAACAATAACAATAATGAACTAGAGCCCCAGTTCTGCTTTTCAACCAGTGTAAGAAGAGCCTGGCAGAAGACACAAGTCATTTAAAAAAATGTTTCGTTTTGATACTAGGAACCAAACTTAGTGCCTCACACTTGCTAGGTAGGCACTGTGCCGCTGAGCTGTATCCCTGGCTCCACAAGGTATTTTTCCCAATTTTAGAAAAGTAATGCAAATATATAGTCAAAACTTAGTGACTAGATTAAGCTCACTTCAAGAGAAAGCTTGAGTTGAATGTCACATGAATATTCAGACAATAGCAACCTGTTTGAAATTGCTATTGGGCATAATTCCAAAATTTATGCATTTTATCATCTCCTGGGCATGAAGCCAAAGGCTAAAGGAGCAGAACATGCAGAAGTTTAACCTGAATTATGTTCCAAACCCTGTTGAGTTTAATTTTACTTACAAAGCAGAATGTTAGTTTGCCACTTACATTTGTTCATTATAGTCCTGAAAAATACCTGGTTTCTTGTTATCAGTCTCTAAATTGTGCTATTCATTTGGAAAGCTCCAATTTTAAAAGCATCATTCTGAATTACTAGGCAAGTGCACACAATAAATAGACAATCTAAGATATACTAGACTAAGCAAAGGAAGTCATTTTCTATAAACTTTACTGTGGTGTAGAGTTTCCGGGTCCACCAGCCTTGTAACTTCAGAGGGCACAACAGGAAATTTTTAGCTAACTGAAATGGAGTGTATGCAAGGATGAGTACATAAAAACACTGTTTTACAATAAGAAAATGCAATACATATTCCTGGTACAAGTTTGGCTGTAAGATCAAACAGCTTTCTCCATAGTCACAAACACACAAAAAGAGTAAGATGCTACTCAACACATACTTCATTTAAAACATTTTACTTGAACCAATGATGGATATATTACAAAACCATCAATAAGAATTTGCTGACATATACAGCTAAAACAAAGAGATGAGGGACCTCGCTGTATGCTATACATTTATTGTACAAGATTCTTATAACAGTTATTTCTTTATAAATATAGTGGCAAAACATTTCAAATGGATAAAAGATGAGTTAATCTAAAATATAATCACTTGCTTATAATGTTTTTAAACTTGTAGACACAGTAATAAGGAGTCTGAACATGCAAAACTCATTTATAATGTAGATCAAAAAGGGAGTGACCAGAGTGATTCTGTAATATTCTATTCTTGATGTGTATGGTAGTTATATAATGTATTAGTTTATTGCTATCATTTAATTGTGTACCTGTAAACATTTGATTTTGGAAAACATTTATAGGTAGACTTATTTAATTAAGAGCTGAAAAAAGAAGGAAAGAAGGGAGAAAAAAAGAATGAAAATGAAGGAAGGAAAGGATGGAGAAAGGAAAAAGGAAGAAAGGGAGTGCCTGTTAGGATTCCCATTTTTCATACCGGGGAATACTGTGCTAAAGGAAATATATGCTTTCATTATTTGCTTAATTAAAATAAGATACAACTTTATAAAACTGCACAATTTGATAGACTGACACATCAAAACCAATTAACCGTCATGTCTGTTCAGAGTCTCTGTGTTGATATTTTAGCCTTTTAAAACATCTCTGTTACTTAGCAAATGTAAATGTCACCATCATACACGTATAGTTTTCTTGTTTTTGGTAGCTGAATTTAAAAGTTAGCGGAAGAAAAAAATGTCTGGGATTACACTATATTTGCTGAAATATTTGTTTTGTTCCACTATATTTGCTCACTATATTTGTTCAAAAACACATAAACACACAAATTTTATTCCTATAGTTTCATAAGTCTAAGTAACTCTCTTGTTTAGAGTTTCTGTTTGGTATTAAGTTGGTTTGTCACTTAGTGACTACTTACTACTACCAAAAGTGTTTTGGACACTGAGGTTGGATCTGTTGATTTTGTCCGTGACTAAGAAACAGTTTTCCATGTCGTTTTTTCAAAGGCAAAAGGTTAGGCAAAAATGACATATATTGTAAAACTGAAAGTAAATGCACAGTACTGATGTGCTCAAAGTCCATGCATTTAAATTCCTTTGCATGATAATTTATGGTGATCATGTCTTTAGACTGCACTATTAGCATACTCACCCCTAACAAGAAGTTCTGCCTCATCTGACACACTGTCTGCTGTGGTCTGTACCCTGCAGCCATATCTCCCAGCATGCATCAGAAGGATGTTCCTGATCATTAAATCTGCAGAGGATGCTTGCTGAAAGAGGGATGAAGTGCCAGTTTAAAATGTTGCAAATCTGCCTAGTTCAAAGTGGTCTAAGGGGGAACTTTGCATATTCAGTCAAGGGCCCATTTTTGGTCTTATAATTTATATGATAACAATGCAGACATCAAACATGCCCTATCTTAAAGAATACATGGAAGTTATGTTTTTAACAATTGCTAACAAAGAGTTAGAACACTTAATATTGCATCTAATGATTGAGCAGCTAAGATAGTTAAGAAATATTTAAAGATACACAAACAAACTCATATTTTTAAAATTATAGGAAAAATAATTGGTGAGCAAAAAAAAAAGAGACTAGTTCGCTATTCTGAGACAGGCCAATATTATGGCAATAAAACTGTATTGAAAGGAATAGCACCTTGTGGGAAATTAATTATGTGATGGTAGCTGTCAAAAGATTATCTCTTGTGGCTCTTATTGAATGGTTCCTCTTGTAAGTACATTGTGGGCAACAGAATAAGACAGCGCTCAGGTGAAAGATTGCTGGTCCAAAAGCCACACGTCTTTATTTAACAAAGATAATTTCCCCCATAACCACCATCATCAGGGAGCAGGTCAGCCTAAATCTTTGTTAATATGGTTATGAAACACAAAGCATGCCAGAAGCACTTGATTCTGTTGGGGAGCAAGATGATTGAAACACAGTTAAAGAATAGTACGTTTAAGAAGATCAATAAATCCTAAGCAGGGTATCTTTTAGGTGTTTTTGTTCATGGGATCAATGATGATCTTATACTTTAGAATGAGTTATACAAACCCTTACTTACTCACTTAGAACTTTTGTTGACTATTAGAAAAGAGATTTATTGGGATCATATAAAGATGCTGCATTAGTAGTAAATCAAGATGTACAGTATTTTTGTAAAGATAAAGCAAAACTACAACAACCCCTCACTTTCCATGTTATAGTCTAGCAACATTTGACTTGAGTGAGAGAAGATATATGCAACTTGAAATATCCTCAAAATAATAAAAACTTTTCTCCAATAATAAGCGAGCATATGAAAAAAACATTCAATGAATGTCAGAGAGAACAACCCAGATTAGATATGTTTTAGAGTTTGATGGAATGAAAGTGAATTACCTTAAAAAATAAAGTGTTCAAAGAAGGCAGTCTCTTGATAATTATTCAAGAATATTATTGTTTGCTTTTATGTGAAATGATCAATGGGTTTATGAAAATTATGAAAACAAATTTAATTTCTAGAAATTCTTGGGTTTTTTGGTTTTCATGGAAGGGATGTGAAGTCATTATGAGTTTTTTTTTTTTTTTACCAAACAGTATACTTTTCTTTTGATGAATTTATTATATGTTATGTTAAGACCACTGCCTATTGGTATTCAATTTTTACCCTTCCTGTCACTCTTAAAATAAGAACTTATAAGGTCATTGAAGTTTTCTCTTATGAAGTAATTGTTAAGACATGGCCCAGTCTAGTCATTTACAAGAAAATGCTTCATAGTGAGAATGCATTAAAATGTCATAACAATTATTTCACGAAATGTGATGTTTGTCCAACTAATGTTGTACACTGCTAATTTCCTTAGGATACATTGTTACTCTCAAATATTAAAAGAAAATCATCTTATTTTCACTGGACTAAATGCTCACTTTCAACTATTTAAAGAAAGCTTTGATCTTTTTATGGGGGAAAAAACCCAAACTGTACACATAATGTTTCAAATCAGCATAACTTCACACTATTTGAATAAGCTCCTACACATTTATCACAATGTGTACTGTGGGTTCAACTTTGCTTCATCCTTCCAGATTCATGAAGAACTCATTTAATGGGATACTCAAACCATTGGCTCAGAATGGGAGCTGTGTCTCATAGGAAAGATCAGAAAAAGACCATAGAAAAGGAAGCAGGATTTGATTTTTTTCAGCAACAATATCTGAATGAATGATTGTTTGCTTTTCTTTGTTTTACTGTAGCCTTATGCTTGTTTTTAACAGAGTGCCACAATTGATATTGGTAGAAATTTCGCAACAGAAAATGTACCAATTGTAAATAATTGTTCAGGGTTATATTTTAAAATTATTTTGTAAAATTACATTTCTACTGTTCAATGAGTTTCCATTTCACCAACTTTTCTTTCCTGGTAATTTTTTTCTTTTTGTCCTGAAAAAAGAGTCCTCAAACCTTTTTATCTCTCTAGAATTACATTTAAAGTGATAATGAATAGGATGAAGAAACACTTAAAAATCACATAAAAGCCCAAAGAATTCAGGTGGGCAAGAAATAAATTATCTTTCATTTGCTATCCTTTAGCTGGTTCCTGCAACTAATAGTGTTCAGAACTATCTAAACTGACAAAATCACCATCCTCGTCCATGAGGAGCAAAATTGCATATCTGTCAATTAAATACTATTTGAGAAGTTAAAAATCATCTATATTGAGCCTACCCTTTCCCACTGGATTTTATCTGCATCATATTTTTCAAATCCTAAACAGAGAAGATTAAAAGTAAAAGGAATGGTTTGTGAACACTAAACCTAAATTACCCTTTCATTAGATTTACTGTTCTTTCAAGAGGAGTAATGAGAGGAATTCATGTGGGAGCCCATTATCCTTAATCTCAGCCCACAGTATGCAGTTCCTGAGAGAGAACCACTGCGATTTAGTGCACTTTTAATGAAATGGTTACTTACAACAGATATTTGGTTTCTTAAACCTAAACCTCAGTTCTGCCTTTTATCTCTTAGGATTTAGACTTTTCTTGTTTACTTTGACACTTTGTTTTCTGTCCTTTCTTTTCCCTGCTTTTTTGTCTTTATAAATAAATCCTATTACTTGTTGCTTCAAATAAACTTCCACGTAACCAGTGTCTACCTAATTACAGTGCTCCAACACTTAGCATGGCATATGCCCCATCTGGTCGAAGTTAAATGTGTGTTGTTAAATGAGTAAATGCTTTTTAAGAAAAAGGCTATGAGAACAGAAGCATGTCTCATCATTCATTTACATTATCTGGTCACATAATTTCATTAAACAGCTGTTAAATTATCTTGACTTTTATTTACAACTTTGAAGTAAAACAAAAAAATGCAGTCTCTCCCCGTAAATCCTTTTCTTTAGCAGCATTTATTTTGACTAGGTGTCAAACTAGGGTAGACTGGTCATCTACCCTAACATTGCAAATTGTATTCCTAACAACTGAAAACTCATTTATCTTGGCTGTTCACTGTCTGCTGATTCTTACTGACTTTAGGAAACAGTCTAGTTTATTTTGACATGCAGTGTTCTCAAAGCTTCTTTTTACCGCCTGCAAATGAATCCTGTGCATTTGCTAACACCAACCTCCTAGCTGCCTAAACTTAGGAATTCTTCCCACTAGTTTTTTGCACAGACTTTTGTTCTTCACAGATTTTTTTTCTCTTTTCTTTTACAGCAGATATTCTGGCATGGCTCAAATGCCATCGTGTTGATCAACACTTTCTGGACACTTCTTTGACTTCCTTAGATGTGCCCCTGTTATGTTGCAGTGTCATCTGAATCATGTCTCTAAAGTGGCACCCACTAATTAAGAATGTGTTTGTCAAGGTCCACTATGGGTATTCCCAGAGCCAAGTCAGAAAGCAGTGCAGCTGATGATCATTAACAAGGCTAATGTATGTGTGCATAGCATCTTTCCTTCGTGGATGACAATACTTCTTCCTACCCTTTTCTTATTTTTACAAAGAAATGAAGGAAAAAATATAGACTATAGAGGAAGACAGTGGAAACAAGCCCTGAAAACACAGATGCACAGACGCTATGTAGGAAACAGTGTAGAATCATGCAAATTCTTGAGCTCCACTTATTAGATACTGGACTTGGGAAAATTCTCTACTGCTCAAGAGTTTTTCTGAGAGTTTCAATATGATAATGAGAATAAAACCCATAGTGTATTTGGTATACAGTGTTTGATAAATGTTATCTGTTAAAGGGCACTGTAATTATACTCTTAACCAAGAGAGATACTTCTTAATTGATATTCATTGACTCAAAGACACTGAATATCAATGTTTTCCATAGATACAGTAAATTTTTTAGAAGCATTTAGCTTTATTTTAGATATACGTATTCCCCATTTCCCTGCTCTTTTCTTTTATAGAGCAGTAGAGTTAGAATTAGGTGACCTGAATGTCTAGCCTTGTCTCGTGGCCTTATAAATAGTACCAAGACCCTGGAGAAGCACTTTATTGGAATAATAACACGTGAACTATCTCTCCCATGGAATACTGTGAGAAATTTAATGAAATAATGTGCATTCATGAACTATTAGACAGTATTTCAAACATATAAAGTTTTTCAAAGTAGCTGATAGAAGAAAGCTGTTCACACAGCAAACACTCTGCGAAAGTGTGGTGAAAGAATAGCATAAGGCTATCAACTCTGCTTTTCTCAGGTGCTAAGATATAAGGTAAATCTTTCAGATGAATGTAAAAAAAAAAAAACAATGCAAAAAGACTTTACCGATACAGAGGTACTGGTATCACTTCCTTCTCAACCTAGTGCTTTCAAGTGAAAACAGTCATGGAATAAAGTCATACAATTTATCTACTTCCTGGATTTTTGATTTTTGGGGGATTTACTCGTAGCTTCATTCTACCTGTTAGCAAAGTTTATTTTATATGACTGCCAAGAATTTTTTACTTGTCCTCCTATTACTGTCTATTCAGTATATTAATAATTCAACAATTATTCATTTAATTCATTTCTGCTGTGCAATGAGCTACACTCCAAGATTGTGTGCTATAATCCAGCTTTGATAGATGAAACATAAGAAGTAATGTAGGACAGCTTTCTATGAACCTGTACAAGGACCATGGGGAGAGGTGAGTGAAATGGTTCTGTTGTTTCACAGTATGATACTCAGACTCCCTCCAGAGAAATGTATTTACTTCTGTGTACCTCATATAGTTTTCATAATCATTGTATAAGCATTGGTTCCTAAGCTTTTACTTTAACAGTATGTTTCT